CCCCAAAACCCCAAAACCCCAAAACCCCTTCTTAAAATTTTCAATTGAAAATTTCCAGCCCCTTCAGCCCACTGACAATTTGTTCTAGTGAAAAAGAGGCTTAAGCGCAAGTAAAGACTGCGAAGCCCTGTGGGGCTTCGCAAACTTGTACTTCTTCCTGAACTTCTTCTGAATCTGCAACAAAGCGTGGTTTGTTGATGGCTAGAAGTGAGAGGGAGGAGTACTAAGTTTTGAGGAGAGACCAGGCACAGGTTCTTGTTGACTTCGGATTTGGTCTCTTCTTTGAGGATCTGGAGGTGAGGAGAGGAGGTACTTTGAGGGGGTTTATTTTGGGGAATAAGGAATTGGAGGAGGAAGTGGGAGAGACTGGGCGGAGGATGGAAGGAGTGGGAGGATTGATTAGGGTGTTTCGTTTACTGATCTTAGCCTTTTTATTGGGTGAGTCAAGTTTTAGTGTGGGGTTAGTGTCTAAAGCGGTACTGCTGAGGTTTCTTCCTCTTTTTCGTCCTTTCTGGGTTGATCTAGAGTGGTGATGGGGATGTACTCTTTTAAGGTATTTTTGAGGTTTTTGAGCATTTCTTCGATTCTAAAATGAGATCTAATTTTACTCAATGTTTTCTTTTTCAATTATTTCTCTAAAAATGAGATTGCCAATTTGTTTACCTTTGGTCAAATCCATTCCCACCAATGAATTGGATTGTTTCTGCTGGTTTGAGTCCATGACTATTATTTTTCAATAAATCTATCAAGATCATATAACTCAGTTTTGACTTTAGCAAAAGCAGTGTCAGTATGATTTTCTAACGAAGCCATTCCTGCTTTTCTTGCCTTCTCGAGTAAGACATTAATATCCTCCTATAACTTTGTTAAAATTTCTGTGTAAATTAGCATTTTATAATGATAAATCTCAAACTGTAGAAAGGCTTAAGAGTCCAATTAAGTCTTGAGGGTAATAAAGACTGCAAAGTATGGCACTTACCTTTTTCTGAAGTATGATTTGCATCTCACCCAAGATATCATCATAGTTCTTGCTATTAAATACCTTATTAAGCGCTTTTCGGGTTTTTATATTTTGCAGCTGAGTTTTGTACTACACATATTTACTAAATATTACTTTGCCTGTGCTCCGAAGGTAGTTCTCAAAAGCTATTTGCTTGGGTGACGTCACTTCTGGAGAATGTTCATTATCATCAGGACTAAGAGCAGAGTCTATAAAATTTGTTTTATATTTACCATTCTGAGAGATTGTGTGCATGCTGCTCTGTAAGAAATCCATATAAGGCTTGTTTCTATTTTTATAATGATAAAATGGAGGAATTGCTCTTCTTAACTCTGAAAAGTTCTTCAAGAATCCAGTGCTACAGCATTAGGCAAGTTTAAATACCTATCCTTCCTTAAAATCTCTTCTGCTCTAAAGCTCCTTGTCGACCCTGTATATTTTATTGATCGCATTCTAAAACATAATCTTTTAAATATCATACTTCTGTAGTTTTAGGTTGTTCTGTTTTTCTTCTCGATCGATGAAAGGGCCATTAATGATAACCTAAACTATGAAATACTGATTACAGTTTTAGTGATCTTATTTTGGTTGAACTTCCATACTTCTCCTCCTTGTCTTTTTCCTACCAAAGATCTACAACATCAAACACTCATTTTACCTTCAGATTATGAGGTAGCTTTTGATGACCATCACTATCAATAGCGTCATCTCATAGATCTAATATTTCCCTAAAGATAAGATACTTCTTACATTGATGATTTGGGTACCATTTTTCTAATCTTCATTGACATTTAATAAAAATTATTATCAAAGGGGTTTTGGGGTTTTGGGGTTTTGGGGTTTTGGGG